AATTCAAAAATGGTCAGTTTTTAACTGCGGCTTATGGATGGTATAGATGGTAGATCCTGTACTTACATTAAGTATACTCGTAGCAAGCAGATATGGTTGGAAAATTGCAATAAAAATCTGTCGTGATTAACTGTGATATAAACAAAAAAAACACGAAATAATACAAAAACAGTATTCAAAAGAATAATTTATCTTTACAATGCATAAAAAGCCCAAGCAATGTTAAATTATCATTTTTAAAGCTCAACCGAAACCAGATAAGCAGCGAAATAATGACCTACGACTAAACGTCGATACCAGTTTATCTTCCGCTTATTACTGCGACATAAATCAACAAGATTAATGTTTCATTTTAACACGTTGAGTGCGAAACCAGGTCTATAGACCTTGTGCACGTCTCGCTTACCGTGCGGCTAAGAAAATTATAGTCTTCCTTGTCGTGCGAAAGGCATAACTTCAATTGGGTCCGGTGTAGGAAAGTGATGAATATATTTCTATGATGTATTCTTAAAATAGAATCCAATGATGTACCTACCTTAATACCAGGTTTTTAGACCTGGTACCGCACGGAAGTAATAAAATGTCTTCACAATGCGAAACCAGGTCGAAGCACCTTGTACCCTGCGCACCTGGTACCGCACCCCACGCTAGCTTCGTGCAGCCAGTGTTGCCTCGCATTCGTAAGAAACGCACATGTCGACATGGCGTCAAGAGAAACAAACAAAATCAAAACTGCAAATTGATTATAATTTAATTTGCTACACGATTTATTGCTAATTTAAATAATGTTTTTCGTGACAAACATTTGAAGTTGTAACTTAATGTTATTAAATAATATGTTTTCTTTAAATAAAGCTTATTTAAGTATTTATGCACGTATATCTTATTTGTAAAATATTTAGACTAAATTATTAAAACATCTTTGTTTGTTACTTTTTTAAATTTTTATTATAACTTAATTTAAACTATCGATATTTGTATTTCACATCCCTAGAATACCCACCAGACTTCCCTAATTCAGTGCGGCACAGGGTGCATAAGCCTTGTATTTTGAATATAGCTATAATTTTTATACTAAACAAGTTATTCACGAACGGCTTCAGGTGTATGTCAATAAATGCATTATTATTAATATTCAAAGAAAAAAACACAATATCTATTAACATGAAGCCAAAAATAAAATTAATATATCTTAAATATTACAAGGTCTTTAAGCCTTGTGCCGCCACAATGTAAGTTTTAATACCAGGTTTACTGACCTTGTACCGAAGGAATGGAAAGTATTAGGAAGTTACTGCCGCAGCAAAGGTGTTAAAAGAGAATACAAAATGCTGTTGCGGTACACCCAAAAGGCAATCGAATCTGGAACGAGCGTCTGTTTGCAACTTGATTTTATATCGGGCGGCGGGACCCCGGGACGCTAGGTCAGTCGGAACCCCGCCCCGTCCCGCGGTCCCGCGGTCCCGCCGGCCAAAGATCGTCGCAACGAGCCGAGCCTGGTACGGCACTGACACAATTTATCTGCTTTCCCATTCATACTACCGGCGGATTGTAGGTACAAGTAAATTCGTTTTGATAGCTCGCTAAAGGAAAAATCTAGGTGCAATTTTAACAGGACTCGCAATTCAGAATCTTGAAAAGCAAAACGGCACCGCTTTTGTGGACGTTCAATAGCACATTCCATGAGTTCAAGTTCACATTAGGTGCAAGTATTTTCTTGTGAAATCTTTAGATTTTCTCCAACACAAACATTTTGTAGTAGTCTTTTCATGCTCGCTTTTCTCTCGCGCTGCTCCTATTAAAACTTTCAGTTTGTTGTTGTGAGCGATACTTTTTCCACACAACTTCACAATTCAATGAGCAAGTCAATAATATTGTTTTCCAACTGAGCGATGCGATGGTCAGTTTGTGAGTTGTTAAATCGAAGTTCTCTGTAATGATTTATTGAGTAAAAGGTATTAAATTACAGACTTTTAACGGCACAAAACAAATTTCCAAGACGCCTTAACCATTTTCCAAATACAAGCAACAATTGATTTTATCAACGTCTCTTTAAAGTCATTGGGTTCAATTTCGGTTTTCTACTACGTTCGATTAAATAAGATTGGAAAGGTAGCCAATTAGATTTCAGTTAGGAATTTCACTTGCATTTTACATGACCTTCTTAGACCTACTTAATGTCGTTAGTTATACGCAAAAGTACGGTTGGACCAATATAATGTATGGCAGGTCGGCCGTCAGCGTTAGACTGACGTGGGTAAACACCACCTAACATACGAACACTACAACCAACGTACTTAATCACAATATTAAATGGCTAACAGAAATGAACATGAATTGTCAGAGCAATATCATAATCCTCTATTTCGCCAAACGCCTGGCAAAAATAACAAATGTAGGTAGTAGGGTGGTCCTTATTTTTCGACTTTTGAATTATCCCCGGGGCACTTTCTCATTCGATTACATACCTCTAAATATGAAATTGGCTTTTTTTGTTTTTTTTTTGGTTAAGATTTAGAGGTCGCTACCAGCTGTCAAAATATTTACAAAAGCTTTGAAGATCTTAAATCATGGTTTCATAAATGTTTTATTTAAGTGTTTATATCACATTTTACGTGCAAATGAACATCGCATAGATAGAATAGACAATCGCTTCTTGTCCCCTTCTCCCCTCAACCCCTCTTCTATACTGACCATGGTACCGACGCGTCGAGATACTAACAAGTAAACTCTTATATCTTAAAAAATAATTGATTCCAATATGTACATTGTACATAATATCTTAGTTCATAGCAACAACAATAATTTTGTAATATTTTTATTTGGCTTTGGCTTTAAAAATAAATGAATCTAACAAATACAGATTTTGTTTTTACTTAAAATTCAAACCTTGGTAGCGACCCCTAAATGTCTTTTAAAAATTAAAAAAAAATAATGAAAGACTTTCATATGGTATATATTCAAATTACGTGGTGCCCCGCAAAATATAAGAAAAAAAATTTTTTTTCGTAGGAATAAGGACCACCCTAGTAGGTAGGTATGCATTTTTCAACGCTACGTTCAATTTCTTTGGTTATTCCCAGGAAATTCCAATAGGAAAGTTTCCATGTTGGGAAGAATTCCATTATAAATGGGGCCGGTGGCAGGAGCACGTGAGAAGCTTACACGTGCCCTCAATTGACAGGACAACACCAAGATTAAGTACACGTGCTAGAACTTAAGCCAAGATATTGCTAGACTTAAGATATTGGGCCTAAAGGCATCAACTTATTATCTTCTTTGACTTTCATCAATTAATTCTTCTTTAGAATAAAATAGAATAGAATACTGTTTATTCTTTGAGTTATTAGAAGATAAACTTAAGAAAGAGTCTGATGTACACAGAAGAAAAGAGAAAAAACATAACAGAATTTTACAATTAAATCATGATAAAACAACTGGGAAACATGATAGATTGAAATTGAACCACATTTGAAGCTCTACCTAAAAATACCACCTAAAAATTCTAGCGACAGTTTTATTCAGGCAATCTTGAATAGAAAAAAGTGGCACGTAGTTGTATGAGGTTTCATGTAGCGCAAAGCTCAAAATGTGGAATGATATTGGACTTTTTGGATGAACTTTAAATCGATTGGCTTTTATTCCATACATTCGTAAAATGGTCTAAATTGTTTTATGGTTTATTTAAGAGCGGCAGTAAAAGAATAAATAACTCCATATACCACACCATAATTTTATTGTGATTGACAAAGTTAATTGATTGTTGCGTATGAAATTGTAGATTATAGGTAGAGGAGGTTCTAGATACTTATTTCATTTAGTCTAACATAGATTTTCTGCTAGTTAGTGTAACGATCTTTTATCTTTATAGAGAATAGATAAAATATCAGTATTTCTTAAATTGTAAGAAATGTGGCGATAATATTTATTATGTCTTATTTATTCAGAACGAAAACTAAACCTAGATAAAATAAAAATAACAGCAAAATAATATATTTTGCTGACACTGACATGCTCTGGCAGATCTGTAATGGTTCGTAAAATATCTTTCTTGTCGTATTAACGCATAAAGAATTTTGTACCTTTGAAGTAATTTTGGACGAAGTAGAAATTAATTGAAGACCTGCGTACCAAGTCTGAAGGGCAAACTATTATACTTATTGTTTAAGTTACATACTGTGCTAATAATAAACAATTAGTTAGGCTTTGTTCAAAACATTCGGGTACATAATGTATGGGTTAGATAATGTGTAATACAAAGAGCAGGGCAATTATTATCCTTTGAGTTAATGGAAAAAGATAAATAAGCTATAATAGGAGAAATAATAACACAATGAATATGAAATGTAGCTTTCGATTTATGTGCGATGGGCAGTTAGTTAGAGACAATAGTCATTGTAGGTTATTTGAGAAACTAATTGATTATTTTGATTAATTCTTATCTATTTAAACATAATATTAAAGATAATTAGGCGCTACCGACAATAATAACTTCCGTAACAAAACGATTCACCTATTCATCGTAACATAAAAATAAATAAATATTCTTGCAAAGAGAGAGAAAGACTTTTCCTAACCATCAACTCGATATACGAGTAAGGATGGATTCGACCAAACAAGATTAGATATTAATCTCAGAATAAATCGTCAGTTTTGACATATTTCCCATACTGACACCACAGCTGACACGGTCAATGTGTCAGTTATGCCAGGAGTTATTCTCGGATAAAAGTTTGGTCGAATCGGGCCTAAATGCCCTTTTCAATCGATTACTAACTGCATATCAATTGAGGTTTCGCCATTTTGTTAAAAGTCGATGCGCTAGCGACTACATTGCGTACATCGTCTCATTTCCCCTTACTCTTTCTTTGCCTCACATAATAAGTAATTGGTAGAAGATAGATACCTAAAACATTTGCATTACAGGAACAAACATCACAATCAGCGAGTACCAAAAGTGAGTATGTTAAGTAGTAATGTATGACGTGTTTCTATTGCAGACATGGATTACAACTACGAGGAGGAGGACACCAGTGACGTAGACCGGGAACTAAGGCCGGTGGCCCGGCGGACGGCCAAGCACATCGCGGCCGGCGAGGAGAGGCCCAGGATCAACTCCAGTCAGCAGACCACACCCACTGATGGTAAGTGGAATACCCTCGTTATCTAGAACTAGGTATTGGTCAGTATGTACCTACTACGCTATAAATATCTCGATCCGAACATTCGCTCAGTAGCCGTATTCAAGTTAACAAAACTTCAACGACATGCAAGCGATTTGATCGCTAGTCACTTTATGTGAATAATGTGTGTATGTGTTATAGTTCATTCAACTTATGATGGTGATTTAGACAGATAAAACGTTTCGTTTTATGATTCTAACTTTCTACTAATAAAAATATTGAGTTGTAAAAATCAATTACTTTTGTGTGTTTTCATCCTTCCAAAATATCAATCACTAATCTTTCTCAATTAACCTAAACAAGAATTTCTAATTATTTATTAGTTTATTATTTAGAAAAAATTGTGAAAAAATATTAAATGAATTGCTTCTGCGTTAGTCGGAACTTTTGCTCATAGGGATGGGACATAAACAATCGCAATAAATCAGTAATCGGCATGGTGGTCATCTTACCATCGAATTACGATTATTATCTCAGGCAGGTCAAAGCTAAGTCAGTACGTGTGCGTTTGCCTTTGATGACGGTTTTGTTTTATGCGATTACTCCACGTATTGTTTGTTATTGTTATTTTGATGTTTTATTGAATAAAATGCATATATTTAATTCTTTGTGATTTATTTTGTACCACTAAGAATATTCACGTTTATTCCATTTCCAGATAGTTCAAATTCATAGATATAATTTTGATCAAGATTAAAAATCAAACAAATAAAAGGCGATTAGATTTCTATAGAAAATATTCTCGATTCTAAAAAATATCGATTAGGTTTATAAGGAGCGCCTCACTAAATAGAACTGTCATAATCACCATCTTACGTTGAATGGACTATAATCGCCCGATTTTGTTTTGATTTCCATTTTAAGCGCATTCAACCGTTGCCTCCTCGGTATTCACCTATTACCTATTTTGAAGTTTGGTTCAAGTGATTAAACGTCAAATGACAAATCGCTGAGTTGCGATCCTATGAGTAATCATTCTATCGAAATGACACGTGAACACGGATTGAACTGTTTTTCAATAGGCCGACTTCTAAACGTCAAAGAGATATTGACCGTGTCAAAACACGTGAATTACGCCATGTTCATTTGAACTGTCCTGCAATCCGTAGGTACCTTACTTTAGAGAGAAGAATCCTTAAAAGTGGAAATGTTGCACAAATAATAAAAACTCAGAGAATAGGCAAAAGCTTTAAATCCTGAACTTCGCTTGATATTTGTTTCTAGGACAAGTCTGCTACCTACTTCTGTAAGCATTCTACCAACATAGAAGGAGTCTGTTTCAGATACAAAACATTCATTTATATTCTGTGTAACACCTTTGCTGTGGCATTGGTGGATTGTCTAGACTTTAAGCACATAATTTACTAAACTGAATGAGCTAGAAACATGTAAAAAACATAGCCTACTTACATTCGACTCAAGACAGTAAGTACTTTAAGATGAAGATAGAAAGAGTTACAAGCGAGATCACCTTATGTTAATGTGGAAGCAGTGGTATGTGACTGGTATGTGCCTGGTATGTGCCTGGTAAGTGCTATTCAATCTCAGGTGCAGGTCATGGTCGGAAAGACACCAACAGGCGGCGAGTTCCAGTTTCACCTGTTAACAACAGAATATTATGTAGTGAGTGTTTTGTTGGGAATGTTCACATCGTAAGGATAGTAAGGATGCATTGTATTCATTTCAAATCTTAGAATGTCGATATAAAATGCCTTCAGACAATACTTCACATCATAAAGTTATTATAACTAGCGGAATAGAGCAACAACGAGCGTAATGTCACTAAAAACAACACTGTGTGATAAAAAGAGATGCGTTATGCCGTCGCTGTCACGTCATACAGAACCGTTTTTGCAACTATTTGACAGTTCGGAGGCACTTATTGGCCCGCTGAAAATTTGAACGCCGAGATATTTTCAGATTTTACGTGAGTGAAATCGTTGATGTTTATGAGAAATGTTGCTTCAGAAACGTAGTGATTGGTTCAGTGATTGATTGATTGTACAAAACAGTGAAATAAACCTGATACTAACACACAAATAATATCCAGTGTCATCCAAAATCTCGTGGTTGTTGCTCTATTCTAAAAGAATAATAACTTTATGCTTCAATTACTATCAGTAATTAGACATGAATATTACTTTCATTCTATCCTTCGGTAATGACATTCTTGTCCTTGTCGCACTATATCCGTCATTCTTTCATTCCAATCACCACACTTCTTAATACCATGTTTGGTCGAATACTAATAAATACAAGCTACTGATTCAAATCAGATGCTATGCATAACATGTAAACAACTGACGATAAAACGAACCTTAGGGTTCGGACAAACCAACGCGATCACAGCGCGATCAGCCGGCGTGCAGCGATGGCGACCAGACCTAAATGCATTGATCGCCATCGCTGCACGCCGGTTGATCGCGCTGTGATCGCGTTGGTTTGTCCGAACCTTTAGAGTTAAAAGTAGCGATCCTACTTTACTGTTGACCGTGTCATAATGTAGAGACTCCTTACTGAGATCGGCCGATGTTAGCTCAATACAGATTACAGACACAATACCCAGAATACGAAGCACGTGGAGTATTGGATTGGTTAAATATTTAGAGAGATTAGCACTGCATCCGGTGGGAACCCGAGAATGTCGGTCCGAAGTTAGTAATTGGATTGACACAGCACTAAAAGGAATACAAGGTGAATTGACCAGAACTTTGCTTTGTAGCTTAATTTAAAAAAAACAGCTTCATATAAATATTTACGAAACCCAAACTGCAATAAAAGTCATCGTAGGTACCGTGGTAGGTACTCCGAAACCGAAGTAGGTACAGTAGGTACCTACATGTTACTTTTTTTTGACACATGGTACGTGTTACAATGAAAAAATATTGCACCGTAAAATAAAACTCAATCAAGCGGACATTTTGAAAAGTGAGCAAAGAGAATTCTTTGTTGGCAGAGATTTAAAAAATCAGCGGACTTTTTGCAATGCTCTGTGACATCGCCGTGACATCGCTGTCCGGTAATCATTTTCCGATAGCAATTGACACCCACAAAAACATGGGAAGCATTCGTTATTATTTCTGCGTTTTAAAATATTAAAAAACTCAGTTATGAAATTAAATGTTTTTTTTTCGTTGTATTTCATTGAGCTGGTGTTATTAGATAGAAAGGATATGGAAAGCACGTGCATGTATAAAATTTAGCTAATAATAAACTACAGTAATTAATTATTTCAAATCACACATAATGAAAAATCCTCTAGCAAACTAAATGGTGATTGACAAGACGTGCCTTATTTTTTTTACATAATTATATTGAAAGGATTAGAAGTGGAATAACAGCTGTGATAAGTATAATAAAGTAAATAAATCCTTTATAGTTATTACAATTTATTTCCTCAATGCATTAGATTCTGCAATAGAGGCAAAACGTTAACACGTTGATTTACCTGAACAGTTGCTTAATTTGGAACGATAAGCAATACAACACAAATGGATGAACTCATCGGAAATAGTTTAGCTGGATGTCTAGTCTACTCCGCTGTAAATGAACTTATTCGTATCTCGGTGAACCTGATAAACTGACAAAGGCATTTCCTGGAGTTGTGCGAGGCCATGGGTATTATGGGTAATCTATCTAATGAAGTTACCCGCTTTGTCCCCGTACAAGACAGGAATATCGGCTTCATAACCTGCAACAATATTCTAAGCGATTAATATTAAGTTAAGTGTAATGGCTACAATGAAGGTTTAACTTCACCTGGGAGTAACTTAGCTGACTCTAGTTTTATTAACCAGCGGAAAAAAGCTTTAAGTTTGTTGACAATCAAGCTGTATGTTTGGCAACACAAGCATGCAGAAGTCGGAAAAAAGGTAGGAATGTGTGTGTATTATTTTTAAAAAACATACGCTTTATGCACTTCTTGCTTTTTACTTGATGTCAGTCAGAAATCTGCTTCTACTCGGGAAACTATCTCCAAAGAATACATAAAAAGCAAAAGTAGGTACGTGCAACTGCAATATAATAAAATAAAAAATAAATATTACGTTTGTAATATCTCTGGACACAGGCGGACCGAATGCGTAAGTAATCTACAAAAATAATAAAAATAACATGTAACAATTTCCTTCATATGAACACATACACAGTATACAAACATTTAGGTCTAGAATATAAAAGGATATAAAAACAAATTGGGCAACTAGCGCTGTCAGAAATACGCCAATCTTCTACTTGTCATTGTGTACTTTGGTATTAGGGCGCTCTACATTTTTTGTTATTTAGTTTTTGTTATTCTTTCCTCGTTCTCAATGTTGTTCACATATAGCAAAATAAATATGGGTTATAATAAATCCATTTATGGAGTCCTGGCTTCTTTAACCCAAAGAGGCGTCTTTGGAGCCTTTGTCCGCAGCTTCACAATCGTTTAATTTTGAGTTAAATCCGTTCAGAACGATCTTAGAAACCGTTAAACACTTGTCTCTATTAAACATAATATAATCTCATTGCCTGTAATCTAAGTTTCATGGTTCAGCTTCAAAATGCAACCCCTTTCAACCCTTTATGGGTTGAATTTAAAGAAATCCTTCTTTAATCCACATAGAAAGAGAAAATAACAACTGCATTGATGAGTCAGTCAATGGGTCAATTTTAAAAAATATATGTTGTAGATATTTGGCTTAAAACAATTTTCACTTTGAAATACATATTGATATTTTATTCACACTACAAATACCTCTAACATTACAACAAACGCCCATCATTTAAAATTAATGTTTACCAATTTAATACAAAGGCGTTCAATTAAAATAATTCACATTTACCAGCACAATCATACTGGGTGGTGTTAATTTTTAATCACTATTAGGTAAATGAATATTTCAGGCTCTTCTCAAATTATTTCCAATTAATTTGCGTTAATATTTCGTTTGTTTGTAACGAGCGAAGATAATTGTGATAAT